TTCTACTTTTCCAGTCTTCTTTTTCCTTACTCCCTGACACTCACTCTTCCATCCAGCGATGCTGGTCTCCTGGCCTTTTGTCTCTCAGCTCCTGTTGTCTCTAGTGGTTCTTCATGCCTGGAAGGCGCTCCCTCCTCGTCTCTGCCCTGCTGACCTTCCTGGCTTCCTTGAAGTCCCAACTAAAACCCCACCTTCTCCAGGAAGCCTTTCATAACCCCTCTTAATTCTAGTACCTTACCTCTGTTAATTACCTCCTACTTATCCTGTATATACTTTGCTTTGTACATATTTGTTTGCATGTTGTCTCTTCCATCAGATTGTAAGTTCCTTGAGGACAGGGACTGTCTTTTGCCTCTTTTTGCTACAGTGCTTAGTACATAGCAGATGTTTAATAAATGTTGATTGATTGATTGATATTTATTGATGACTTTTTCTTTTACACCCCACATCGTACTCATTTGTAATATTCCATTTCCCACCCCTCCCCCAAGCTTTTCCTGGTAAGATTTTTTGAATACATAGTTAAGTGAAGTCAGCTGACACATTGAAGGTGTCTGCGTATTTGACATTGCACACCCACAGCCGCAGCTCATTTGTGAAAGGAGGGAGGACACAGAGTTGCCCCACAGTATCCCATGTTGGTGGTCTCTCCAATTGCTTTGTTAGAGTGATTGTGTAGATTGTTTTCCTGGTTCTGCTGACTTCAGTCTGCATCAGTTCACATAAGTCTTCCCATGTTTCCTTGAGTTCATTAAAGACAGCATGTTATTCATCTTTGTCTCCCTCAGAGTGCCTTATGCACAGGGAATGATTGTTAGATGAATGAATGAGTTGTGTTTTGAGAAAAAGAGTTTCTAGGTTATGGTTATAATTGAGTGGAGGAGGGATAGCTCAGTCAATCATTTAAACGCCTACTATGTGCCAGCCACTATGCTAAGCACAAAGAAAGGCAAAAGTCAGTCTCTGCTCTCAAGGAACTCATGGTCTAATGAGGGGGACAACATGAAAATGACTGTAAACAAAGAAGCTGTAGACAGGATAAATTGGAGAGAATCAGGAGAGGGAAGGGCCCTAGCACCAGGAGAACTGGGAAAGGCTTCTCGAAGGTGGGATTTTAGCTGGGTCTTGAAGGAAGCCAGGGAGCCAGGAGATGGAGAAGAGTTAGAGCACTCCTTCCATGCTTGAATGACAAGCGGTGGAAATGCCCAGGGAAGGAGGATGATGTAAGAGACTGGGGAGATATAGGAAGTGGTGAAGGGCTTTGAATGCCACGCAGAAGTTCTTATTTGGTCCCGGAGGACATAGGGAGCCACTGGAGTGTAACGAATAGGACCTGTGCTGTGGGAAGATTAAAGTGACTGGTAAGTGGAGGATGGACAGGAGTGGGAGAGGCTTGAGATAGTCTGATCAGGGGGGCTGGGTGAGGTGAACACATTTAGTTCAACAGATAGTTAAGCATGGACTGTGTGCAAGGAAAGCACTTGGGATACAAACCAAAAAGAACTGTTCCTGTCCACCAGGAACCTAATGGTGTGTGTTGTTCAGAACGAGGGGCTGTTTCATAAACTCCTTACAGTCAGCTTTTGATTATCTGCAAAAAGTGAGGGAAGCATGCTTGAAGTCCGCTTCCTGAAGTGGCTTTTCAGGCTGTTGTGCCCATGCAGGAGGGCAGTCTGGGCTCTGCCCAGATTCCCTGGGGCGAGTTGCCTTGCTCTCCAGCAGTATGGTCCCTGTGGGCTGATTCCCTGGGGCAGCGTCATGGGGAGGTGCGCTTGGGGACCCTGCTGTGAGGAGTCATTTGACTTTCTGTTTCAGTGGGAGAAGGGGCTTGGATCAGATGCTTCCAGCCCAGTCAGGCAATCAGGCAGTCAGTGGCATTTAGTAAGCTCTTACTGTGTGCCCCCAGATCTTTTGATGATCCTGCAGTTCTTTCAGAGCTGGGTGGTGGCCCAGGGCTAGGGACAGTGAGTACAAGCTACAGAGACAGATTTAGACTGGATATAAAGCAGAACTTCCAGCTGACTCTGGAGTGGAGTGGCCTGCCCCATGTGGCGGTGGGCACCTCCTCCCTGGAGGTTGGGTGTTCCCTTGTTGGGACTGTTGTCGAGGGCATTTGGGGTCAAAAAATGGATTAGCCTAGGTGGGCTCTGGGATCCTATTCAGTTCTGAGGTTCTGTGATACTGCTTTTATTGGTGGAACTCAGGGAACCAAGAACGTTGTGAGATGCTGGGTATAGAGAGATAAAAATGGAGGCCTTCCTGCCTTCAGAGAGCTTCCATTCTTTTGGGAGAGACAACATGTGCACAAATAGGTCATTGTTTTGAGGGGATGGCACTAGCAGGTGGATGGAATCCAGAAGGGCTTCCTGGAAGTGGTGTCACTTGAGCAGAAGTTTGACAGAAATCAGGGCTTCTAAGGGTTGGAGCACATTCTGTGCATGAAGGGTGGCCGCTGTCTTCTCATACTTATTCTCCTCTATGCTTGCTGAACCAGTGACGTGACCTTTTTATAGTTCCCCCAAAATGATTCTCCATTCTCCATCTCTGTGCTTTGTCCCTAGAATGCTCTCTTCCCCTTACCTCATATCCCAGCGTCCCTGACCTCCCTCAGAACTCAGCTCACATCCCACCAACTCCAGGAGGCTTTGTCCCCTGGTAGTCAGCTAGTTTCTCTCTGCCTCCCCATTGACTTTCATCTTATCTGTCCATATCTTGTGTGTTACTTAGATTTTACATCTTGTTTCACTCGTTAGAATGTAAGCCCCTTGAAGGAAGGGATAGCATTGGTTTGGCATTTATCTGTAAGCCCATTGCTTAGTGCAGTGTTTGTGCATAGTAAGTGTTTAATAAATGCTTGACTTGATTTATTGGCATGAGTTGGCCGGATTGTAGAGTGTGTGAAGGTTGGGTTATGAAGATAGGTTGGGGTCGGTTGTAAAGGACTTTAAAAGCTAAACAGAGGTGCTCACATTGGATCCTGGGGTAATGGGGACACGGTGGAGTTTATTATATAAAGAAGTGACCTGTTCGCTTGTTTCAGTCGTGTCTGATTCTCGTGACCCAATTTGGCTTTTTCTCGGCAGAGATACTGGAGCAATTTACCATTTCCTTCTCCTGCTCATTTTACAGATAAGGAAACTGAAGCAAAGAGGGTGAAGTGACTTGCTCAGGGTCACACAGCTAGTGTCTTGAGGCTGGATTTGAGCTCAGGTCTTCCTGACTCGAGGCCAGGTGCTCTATCCACTGCACCATCCAGCTGCCCTGATATATTCAGGCCTGTCAAGGAATATGCCTGGCACCTGAGTGGAGGATGGAATTGACCAGGGAGAGCCTCGACGCAGGGAGACCCATTAGGAGGTCACTGTGTGGTTCAGGCAAGCATGCACGTCCCCTGCTAGAGCCATGGCTGCATGAGGAGGAGGGGATGGACAAGAGACGTTGTGGAGGGAGACATGGCAATGTTTGGCAAGTGCTGGACTGTATGGAGAAAACTAGTGTTGGGGGGAGGATCACACTGGGGGAGGGCGAGGAGGGCCCGTGAGAGAAGCAGGGAATTCTGGGAGGTCAGAGTGAATCTGGGGGAAACGTGGTGAGTTCTGTTCTACAGATGGTGGGTTTAAGAAGCCTCCGGAACATGCAGTTTGAAATATCCACTTGGCATTTAGTGCTGGGTGTCAGGACGGGTGGATAGATGTAGAAATCATCTTCATAGCTACGATAGTTAAACCTACAGGGCTGAGGTGGTAGCTCACTGAAAGAACTGAGGAAAGAAACACTTTGGTTCTAGGGGAGGGGTGGGGAACCTGCGGGCTCGAGTCCACATGTGGCCATCTAGATCCTCAAGTGCGGCCATTTGAAGTTTGAAGTTTGGATTCAGTGAAAGGGCTGCTGTGAAGTGAAGTGCCTGAATTCTGGCCCTGGTCCCTGGGCTCCAGGCCCAGCCCTCTTTCGCTCAGCCCCTCTGTCCTGTGTTTGAGATGATCGTGACAGAAGCCCTTGCTGCCTCCATTCTGGGCCTCGGGCCTGTGAGAACAGTATTAAGGCTACTGGCCATCAAGGCAAAGGGGCGCCTCCTTAGGGAGGACACATCTCGGCAGGAAGAACTCTGGTCCTGGAATGTAGAGGATGGCTCCTGAGAGGCAGTCCCCATTGCTGATCACTGCCAGAAGCCTGGGCCATTGTAATCACCAAATCCTGACCTCCTCTGGTCTCAGGTTCCTTAAAATAGCCCAACCTGCTTGCTCTGTTTGAGGGTTCCCAGAAGCCTCATCTTTCTCTCTGTCCAGGGCAGCCAGATCACAAGGACTGTGAAAGTGGGGGAGGGACGAAGAGCCCGGGGTGTGCTCACCCCGCTTCCTCCTTACTGTGGGGGGTAGGAAGGAGGGTGAGTAGCAAGGAATTGGAGTGGACATCAGGCCTCCCGTCTTCCTCGTGCCAAGCCCTGGACGGGGACCAGCAGGAGGCTGTGCCCTGGATTCCCTAGCCTTTCCCCAGACCCGAGCAGCTGTGGGCGGCTGGGGCCCTCTTGTGGCCAAAGCCTGTCCTTCCCAGTGTGATTGCTATTCAAGGTCCGGTGTGTAATTTAGGGACGTAAGAGAGGGAGAGAGGGTGTCCTGGTGCTCGCCCTGCATCCTCTGCTTAAGAGACCACCCCATGATCTGAGGGCCAGATGGGGTGACTGTCCCCTGAGCGTGCCTGTACCCCCTACCTTTGCTCAGGCTCTTCATAGAGAGGCATCTTGGGATGGCGGAATCAGTGCGAGACTGAGCAAGGAGACTGGGGTCTGCGGCTTGGACCTGGTGCTTCTTGGCTGGTGGACCCTGGGCCTTCTGTCCCCCTTGTCACACTGCCACCCTGCTGCTCCAGCTGTGGACCTCACCACACACCCTGGGGTCACAAGGTCAGATTGCGCATGGGGGGCAGTGCTCCACCATATTCCGGACTGGGGTGTCCAGTGGGTGGCACTGTCATCTCACGTTTGTCTTTCTTTTTCTTTGCAGCCCGGCTCTACCCCAGAAAACGAAAATGTGGTGCCTCGGAAATCCCTTGTGAGTCCCCAAGATGGGTGTTATTTCCTTTCAAATAATGAGCTCCCTCTCTTCTCTAAATCTGTGATCCTGTGAATTCAGATGTCTTGTGAGCTTTTTTAAAACAGCATTGTAACCTCATGCATTTTTGTAGTAGTCCTAACCCTTTAAAGAAGGTAGCTCTTGTACTCAGCCAGTCCAGTACCCAGTCCACGGCCCCTGCTCTCTGACCTCCACCTGCTTCCTATGGTAGAGGAGGGATGTGCGTCAGATCTTTGCTTATTTGAGGCCGAGTGTTTGTTGGCAGGGAGGTCAGCCACCCTGGAAGCTCACTGCTGTGTGCTCGATGGGCTGGGGAATCTTTCTGGAGTGGCCAGTTTAAACTGGAGATCTCCAGATTTGAGTTTGGTGGCCACCCAGCTTGGGCTTTGTGATGGGGGTGTCTGTGATCTCCATTGACAGCATTGCCTCGGGTTTAGGCAGGGCTTAGGCCTACAGGCCAGGCCGCTGTCCTCTCATGGGGTGGCCTGAGGTGGCCACCCTTTTTCATTCCCTGTGGCATTTTCACCCTGGAGGTTAGTCGGCTGGTGGAGTAGGGCGGCTTCTCTCCAGGTCAGAAAAGTCATTGTCTGGTTGCCTGGATACATATGCTTTGTACTCCCCTCCCTGATTGTAAGCCCCCAGAGGGCAGGGGTGGTCTGTTGTTTCTCTCTGTGTCTTTTGCTGCACCTCCTGCTTTACTTTGCCCACTGTAGACAATCCTTTGGGGTAGGGTGGGGGTGGGGAGTACTTTGGGAGGGTGGGTGCTTCAGCCTTGTCACCCATCATCCCTTCCCCATTCTCTTTGACCACTTCCTGGTCTGCAAACTCACCCTGTTCTTTCTCACCTCTACTGCTCCCTCTACCTCAGATACCTTCCTCCTTCCTTCTGCCTCATGAACTCTCACTGGTCCTTTAAAGTCTGTCCCAGATGCCCCCTCTGGCAATGACCCTTCCCCTAAGACTTCACATGCACTTGTTTGCACCTCTATTATGAACCTAGGGATTATTGTTTATGATGTGTATATAATCAGAGATATAAATACATACATACACGTAGGGTCCATGAAGACTGGGACTGTGTCTTTTCTAAATTTGTATTTCCTCTAGCCAGATGCTTTCATAGAATCAAATTATGCTCCAGGAAGCGGTGGAGGTGCTTACTGTAGGGGTGGTGTTCTCCCTGGCAGATGTCAAAAGAGGATACCTTTCTGCTTCTCTTAGAAGCTTTCTTCAGTGCTTACCTTTTCCACTCACTTCTTGAGGTTTTGGTTTTTCAGTTGGATCTGTGAGATCATCAGGGTGAGAAACTTCCTCCACCAATGCCGATCAGCAGCTTGTGTGTCACTTTGAGTCTTAGAGTTGTTGGAACCTTGAGAAGTGACATGACTTGTCCAGGGTCACACAGCTGGGACGTGTTAGAGAGATAACGAGAGCTTTGATCTTTCTGACTCCAAGAGCAGCCTACTAGGACAGGGGCGTCCTTTGGGAGCAAAGGTGGCGTCTGAGCAGATGGTTAGTTAGGACACAGAGAATGGGAATGGACATCTACATTTATCTAGAACTTTCTCCACTTTGAGGATGACTGAGTGCTTCCCTCCTACAGCCCCACGATGTAGGGTGCAGGGCTTGTCTTCTTTCTAGAGGTGAGGAAAATGAGACTAGAGGAGTTACCTGCCTCGGCCACATTCACAGAGCTGGGAAGCGTCAGAACTGGGATTTGGATCTGCTCCACCAGGCTGCCCTCTGATTAACTGTGCGGCAGGAGAAGTGTTCTAAAGAGGTTTAAAACAAAGTGCCGTCGGCATTGTGCTTGTGGGGATAGAGACATCTACAAACATTGCTGTCCAGCAGATTTCTCAGTTGTTTGGGTGAAGACATAGATAACATACTTACCAGATGTGTAGACAACTTGGAGCCCACTAGGCTAACCACCTTTGGGATGCCAGAAGGAGTTTGACAGCACAACAGAAGGATGGACCAAATCCAGTTGAATGAGGATTCATCAGGGATAAATGTAAATTATCCTTTGCTTCCAGGATGACTAGACCACAGTTCATGCGAACAGGGTTCTACCTCCTTGGACGAAGGATCAGGAGAAGGACTTGCAGAGGGCGAGGAATTGTGGAGTGCCTTGGAAGGCTCTTGGAGGACGAGGATGGAATTTGTGGAGGACTTGAGCTGTGGAAGAAGAGAGACTTTGGAAGACGGTTGGTAAGGGGGGGTTAGAGCTTAATCAGGGAAGTAAAAGGAGGCAGGTACGTTTGTCAGAAGTGTTCACCAGACTAGAAGCGTGATTGCCAGGCTGTTGGAGGTGCCCACGAGCAGCGCCACGGGTGGTCTCCCGATGAGCACCGAGGACTGAGGATCTCATATCCAGCAAGTTTGGAGAGCAGGGACAGGTTGGCAGTGACCTGCACGGAGCACGCGATGCTTCTGTTTCTGGACAGCCAAGCACTCCAAGTGCAAGCTGGTCTTCCTAGAGGAGAAACCATGGGGGCATATGGATGCCACGGCTCACGCAGGCTCTGAAGCAGAGGGACGTGGCCTTGTGAGCCACAGAAGGCTTAAGCTTGCAGATAAAGAAGGGAAAGGGATCTAAAGAGAGAAGGGTTGTGACCTATGTCAGGCGGCTAGAAGGCTGAAGGATGATGCGCAGAGAAGGGGAAGGAGAAGAGGGCCCCCAGGGAGGCTGTTCCAGAAGGAGGGCACTCGGTGTGGGGCCCAGGAGGCAGCTGCTCAAGGGAGTGTGGCTGGGGGTGCCTGGGCACCGTACGGGAGAAATCTCTTGTTATCTACCTGATAACCACTATCTAAAAAAGTAAAAATAAAAATGTCTTCTTGTGTGGGGCATATATCTAAGACCCAAGGCTTATCAAGGTAAATCACTGTTCTTCACTTCTGTTGAATTCCTGTGGACACAAATGGTACCAACAAAAGCAATCTAGGAAGCATCAGAGCTGGGAGTCTGGAACAAGAAATTAAAGATCATAAGGACCAGGTGGTGTTTTCACCACGGCAGGGGCTTCGGAAGACAGAAGCAAATTTGGGAAGAAACCAGCTGGTTAACAAGATGATCCTGGAGAAATGAATTTGTGTTCCTGGACTGCAGTTTAAGCTATTAAGAATGACAGCTTCCTGGCACCTGACAGAAGGTGGTCAGAATACTGTGCCTGGAGACTTAACAAATCTAATCAAAGGGGGAGAAACAGACTGCCTCTGGATATTAACTAAGGTAGATCTTGCTATGGAGAATAGTTCCCATTATAGGAAGAGTAACTGTAGATACAGGTGAAGTTCCTAGGAGGCAAAAATCCAAGAAAGTAACCAGTCATAAACTCCACTGTTCCAGATGCCTGTGCACACAGTCACAAGATGTGGGCGCTGGCAGGAAGACCTGGCGATGCTAACATAAGGAAGATAGGTTTGATCTCCTTGGTATGACTGAGAGTTGGTGAGAGGAGACTTCTAACAGGAATGCGGCTCTGGGTTGATAGAGCTTATTCAAAAGAAATGGGATAGGTCACTGGGGGCGTGGCGTGAGTGCTGGAATGGAGCTGTGCGTAAGTATGGAAGGAGATCCAGGAGCCAGAGCAAGGAAGCATGGGAGAGCTCAGGTGAGTAAAGATCCCTGAAGGCAGAACCAGCTGGGATTCTCTCCATGGAGAGTGTTATAGCTCACTCACCTTGGGGAAATGAGTTTGGATCACAAGCCTAGCACAGAGGCTTGATAGAGTAGTGATGGGGAGCTTCAGGTATCTGGACATTTTATGACGTGCTCTTTCTGCTAAATGGAAAGTAGCTAATGGTTTCTAGACTTGCCTTAATCACAACTTCATTCTTTCCAAGTTAATGGAACCAACAAGGGAAAATCCTGTCTTGGATCTGATTCTCACTAGACCTGTTGGGTGACCCTGTTGTTGGGGTTGAAATGATGGGAACCTTGAGAAGCGAACGTTCCATCTTAGTAGTCATGATAGAGACGCGAGAAAAGCTGGACAGAGTTTAACGTGCACCCTGGATTTTAATAAGGCACATTTCAAAGGTTCAGAGAAAGAGTAAGTAGGAACCTATGGCATGAACTTCTGCCAGGAAGGTCATCCCAGGAGGAAAGCACTCAGGAATGAAATTCTGAAGGCAGTTTTGATGAAGAGGAAAGGGAGATGTCTGATGTGGATACATAGGAAACTCTCTAACCAATTCAGATTTCAAGAAGCCATGTCCAGAAGAAGAAAGCAAGTAATGGAGGGTGAGTATAAAAGCATGGTGTGGTGCCCGAGGTGCTGGAGCTCCATGAGACTGATGCGCAAAGAGGAGGATAATGAAAAGCACATTTTCTTGTTTAGCTTTATCAGTCCAGAGACCTGGCCTGCTGCAGGAGTGCTGCTTGTGGGGACAGGTTGATGCTCATGGACAGTGGAGAGAAGGCAGAACTGCTCATTTTATTCTTTGCTTCTGTTTTCTCTGCCAAGGACAATGGTGTTTGGAACCAAAATGGCTAATAGGGAAGGGAGGAAGGAATAGCTCACAGAGGAGCTAGTAAGATCACTGAGTCACCTGGACTCGATGAAGTCCATTCCTGGGACCTGGAAGAACTGGCAGATATGAATCCTGATCCATTGTCCATGACCTTTGAAGATTGTGGTAAATGGGAGCATTAGCACAGGCTTGGAGAGAGACACATGACCTGATCTCCAAAAAAGTGAAGCATACAGATTCTGCGACCTAACGAGGGGCCAGGGAGCAAAATTCATGGGATGGTGAGCACCAAGAGCAGCAGGGTTCCCTCCGTCCAGAACAGGTCCTGCCAGCTTAGCTTCGTTTTCTTCTTTTGACGGGGTTACTGGACCATTAGATAAGGGGAATACGATGGATATCGTTTACCTAGATTTTAGCAAGGTGTGTTGACTTGTTACTTGTGGAAAAGAGAAGTATTTGGGCTAGAAGATAGTGCAATTAGGTGGATTTGAAACTGGCTCAGC